TTCAAAATTTTACCGATAAAAGTGGTCACTACGGCCAGACCAAAAAGTATCTGGACATATGAAGTATATCACTCGACTACCTATTGAGTGTACTTTCATTTTATAACAATAAATCCAAAGTGCCCGCTAACACACAGATGGGCATTCTCCTTTTATGTTACATTTTTACAAACAAGTGTGAATGAACAATACTTTTCTAGCACTAAACTGTGTTGTATTAAAACAATATCACTCAACTAATCTACAGATATAATTTACACTTTATTTTATTATATTTAAAATTTTTAATAAATTCTTTGCTTGTTAAACATTATATTATGTTAATTCAATAAAATTCAATAAATTAAATTATAAAACATATAATTTATATATAATATCGTTCATGATTCAAAAGTTACTTGTATAAAGATATACAGGATAACTTACAAGTTAGTAACATAACAATCTATTTGGGTATAACATGATCAGTGTCCTTAGTCTTAACATGTATCGGCCCATCCCAATCCATATTATACTCATTCAATTGGGTGATCATAGCGTAGACCCGCTGTACGGAGTCGTCGTGCCATCCCTTTTGGTGGTCAATATTGATCTGATCTCTCGGGTGATCGAAGTCGTCGAGTCTCATGTCAAGGAAGGCTCGCATCCAATACTGCTCGTCGGCCGACGACTTGACCACACCTTTGCGAAAAGTGATAGTGCGGTTCAGTATGGATGGCATGGAGTCGCCATCATCGCCACCACCATGCTCAATTATGCAGTCGTATAGCGCGCATCGGCCCAACGCTGTGCGGATGTTTGCCGAGTCCGCCCATTTCATTGCCGGGCTGTTTGATGGTTATATTTATAGTATGCACTTGTATTTAAATGCTCATGGACATTTACGTTATAAATGTTAGCTTATTGTAATTTATGATAATATTGTAGCTTATAATTACGACATAATTTATTAAATAAAAATACTAAATCAGATATTTGTTAACTATATTCATTATAATTAAATACTAATTGTTTTATTTACAGAAAAACTGAATAAAATCATTAAATAAATAATAACATACTTGTAGGACATTGCGGCGCTCACTTCGTCCTGAATGTCAATAAACAGCTGATCTCTGGCCGACTCGCGCCAGGCGTCGGGAAAGCCGACCAAATGTGAGGTATCGTTACTGAAGTGTTTGGCCAAACGCTTCAACTCCGGTAAATACTCGGCCAAAGGGTTGTCGTGTTTTTTAACAGTGTATTTGTTGACCACTTCGTAGGCATCGCCGGTGGCTGTAGTGAAGCCAAACTTACCGCACGTATAGCCCCGGCCGTCGTGTATGTCCTCCACAAAGTCATACGTGATGTCAACGCTGTCCGACTCGAAGATACTGATGAACTGTTCGCACCGTCTCTTCTGGTCGACAGTCAATAAACAGCTGATCTCTGGCCGACTCGCGCCAGGCGTCGGGAAAGCCGACCAAATGTGAGGTATCGTTACTGAAGTGTTTGGCCAAACGCTTCAACTCCGGTAAATACTCGGCCAAAGGGTTG